TCGCCATTCCGGTTTTGGGGTGTGACAATATCACCTTCACTAACGACTACAGTCGTTTTGGTTATGTGTATTTTATGAAACATAAACATGAAGCATTTGAAAATTTTAAACTGCTTCATAGTGAAGTTGAAAATCAACTAGAAAACAATCAAAATCCTTCTTTCGGATAGAGGAGGCGAGTACTTGAGCCAAGAGTTCCAAGGTCATCTAAGGAGTCGTGGGATTATCTCACAACTCACTCCACCTAGAACACCACAACTTAATGGTGTTTATGAGAGGAGAAATCAGACCTTACTTGATATGGTTTGATCTATGATTAGTCGAAGTACCCTTCCTTTATATTTTTGGAGTTATGCTTTACTTACCGCAGCCCGTATCTTGAATATGGCACCAAATAAGAAGGTAGAGAAAACAGCTTATAAGATGTGGTATGGAAGACCTCCATCCTTATCTTACATGAAAGTTTGGGGATGCAAAGCTTATGTTAGACAAGAGACTTCCAGCAAAATTGAGCATAGATCTACCAAATGCATCTTTGTAAGATATCCTAAAGATTGTTTAGGATATTACTTCTACATACCTAGTGATAATAAGATCTTTATTTCACGAAAAGCTGAATTCTTAGAAAGCAAGTTTTTAATGGATGATGCTAGTGGGAGGCGTGTGGAACTTTAAGAAGATCAAGAGCCTCAACCTGATGCATCTCCAGATGGCAATAGTATTGAACAAGAGGTTGTTGAGGAGGAAGAGATCATCGTCCTCAAACCTACTAAAACACAAGGCTTTCGCAGATCTGGTAGAATTCGTCATGAACCTGAGAGATATGGATTTCTCATTGATGAGTGCTTCGTAATGACAAATGTTGATGAGCCGGTCAGCAACATATATATGCAATGTCAGATCCCGAATCTGACAAATGGCTTTTAGCCATGAACGATGCGATACAATCCATGAGAAAAAATCAAGTCTGGGACTTGGTTGATCTTCCTCCCAATAGCAAGACTGTTGGAAGTAAGTGGGTCTTCAAGAAGAAGATCAACATGGAAGGCAACTTACACACATTAAAAGCAAGATTTGTTGCTAAAGGATTCCCTCAAACTCATGGGGTTGATTATGATGAAACCTTTTCACTAGTCGCTATCATTAAACTAATTAGGATACCATTTGCCATAGCTGCATATTATGACTATGAAATAGGATGGTTGACAAAGCGTTCTAACCAGTTTCATAGATACCTACTAGAGAGTAAGTATTGGAGTGAGCTGTTTAAGATCACTTCATGGATCGCTGTCATGAGTGGGACTTGATAAAAGGTAATATTTGTATATCCTTAACACCTGAGATACATATTAGGGACTTGAGTGTGGGGAATGTTATGCTTTGATGTAGTCAAAAGTTGAACTTTTGTTAGGCAGTTATAAAATCTATTATCAGGCATGATGTAAACCATGCAAGAGGCGTATATAGTCAATATGGGATTTGTTCCTCTTATTCGTTGAGAGTTAAACATCTAAGGCCTGATGTAAAGTTGAACACTTACATGAGATTGACTGCGATCCATATCTCATGTTCAACATGATGTCTGTAGCAAAGGGATAACCGATAAACTTACCTTACTCACCAATTGTAGCCTTGGGGCTTTTGGGGAATTGGGCGTTGATGGAATGGCACTATATCATATGTTGTTGGGGGCAGTGAAATGTTGCTAGACGTTCACCACTATCTATATCAGTTTGATATGAGTCTTGCGCAAGTGGGAGATTGAAAGATCTAGTATGATCAAGAGTCATATTAAAACGATATTTGCTAAATAACATAAAATCCTATGCGTCACACTAACAACAACTTGATACAAATGAATATTTATTAGAAATTGATTTTAGTAAATATTCATAAACTCTTATAATAATTGGGAAAATATTTATTTCAAGGAAATATTATTTTACAATACAAGTAACAAATTATTTCATATGGTATGAATATAAGATGTCATGTACATCTTTTTTGACCTAATAAACCTTTTGTCTTTTAGCAAAAAGACAAAGTTTATATCTTATAAACTTTGAGTTTATAAAATATAAACTCTTGACTTGTCTTTTCTCCTTGGAAACATGAGATGAAGAGAAAAGACATTTGCATTGGTATAATGAAAAGGAATCAAACCTAGGAAGATGAGTTCATGACATAGGGGACAAAGTTGTCTAATGGTTAATAACTTTTGGACAAAAATTCAATTATAAATAAGAGGTGAATATCCTCATTTTTCTTCACTTCACTCTCCTTGGTCGAGAGCTCTTTCTTCATCCCCATCTTCTCTCTAAAGTCTTGAACTTTGAAGATTTTGTTGCTTGCATTCTCTGTTTAAGTCAGAATCTTGTTTTGGGTTAAAAGCTTAAGAGTTGTAACTAGCATTACATCAAGTTGGCACATTGTTGGTGTCTCAAGGGTTCATCCTCACTCCATCTATTTCTAATCCTCCCCTAGAGGACTCAAAGTGCTTCAAAGGTTGTTACCATTTCTTCTTTCTATGGTTGTGTTTTAAATTTTTCCTTTAATTGCAAGATGATCCTGGTGGGTGATAAAATGTTTATGTTATTTTACAAAACTCAAGTTTTCCGTTTGCCATTATTTGTAGTTTTCGTTTTTAAATAAAACCCAATAGAATATAATAGCTATATATCGTCATTCATGATCTGTCCTAAAAAAATGTCCTTTGTGCTTAAGTGGATCACAATATCAATGATTGACCAGAGCTTTTCATTAACGTGTGTGCTGATAAACCTCATTAATTTGCTTCATCAGGTTTGATCCCAAGAGTTTTTGTTTTATTAGAATCTGTTTATTACATTTTTGTTTTTAATTAAATTTGTACATATTTTCTCTGTTATGCACAAATTTAGGGGGAGAAATTACCAAAAATAATAAAAAATAAATGTATAAATAAAAAATAAATTAAAAAAATATATTAAAAAATGTGTGTTTAATTTTATTTTTATCTTTTTTTTTTGGTCTTTGAAATGAAATATCGAAAGAAACTTTTCTTTTTATTAAAAACGAGTATTTTGTTCTTGGGCCGAAATCGTTTGGTGGGCCATCAGGTCCGAGATCATTTAAGAGCATATATAAATGTCGTCTTCAGCTGATTAGGGTTCCCACCGATAAACCCCAATCCGCCATTGTTGTCTTCTCTCCAAGCTTTTTCGAGTTTTCCTGAAAAATCTTCATTTTTCGGTGTTTGTGTTGTAAATTCGTTCGTGAATCAGTTAGATTATTGGTTTTCGATCATGCCAATGACATTTACGTTGTTTTATAGGTTTCAAATGGTTTGATGAGTTTTTTTTCCGACGAACGGCGATTGGGACAGGCTCCGATGAGATTTCGAGATTTCAGTCTAACCTGGATTCGACCGAAATCAATGAAGATTCGGGTTTTCGGCCAAAATTAGAGTTATTGGCCAAAATCAACCATCGTTGACTGAAATCATCTGGTCAAAACCGAAAACAAGTGTTTTGACCGAAAATCGATCTTTTTGACCGAAATCGATTGAAATCTTGACTTTAACCGAAAGCGACTGAAACCTTGTATTTGACCGAAATCAATTAAAACTTTGACTTTAACCGAAATCAAATTTCAATTTCAATTTAATTAAATTTTAGACTTAATTTAATTATTTTTAAATTAGTTCTCACTTGGCTAGTTTGGTGCAGATAAATGGAAGAGTAACTAAAAATTTGTAGACTCTCACAACGTTGCGGGATATCTCATGGATCCACCTGCTGCTCATCAAGAATTCAAATCTATGATGGTGGGTTTGAATAATTGCAAGATCTCCCAAGCTCTTCGTGCTAATCCAGTCATACACAGAGATCTGATTACTGAGTTTTGAAAAAATGCTTACATCAACAAACATGGAGCAGATGGAGTTGGTACTGTTGAATAGATGGTGAAGGTAACAGAAGTAATTATTTCTGAGCATGCTATTCGAGAGGTACTTGAATTTGGTGATGCATCTGCATTCCCAATTGAGTACTCTGTTGATCAAGTCAAGGAGGTTCTTGAGAAGATGTTTTATGAAGGAACCTATCCTCCCACCATGAAGAAGTTATTCTTTTGTGATTTGCATTTCTGGAAGGAATGGGGGCTCTGATGAAATTAGTCAGACTCTAACCTCAGCCATTGTCACTCTAGCTATAAACTGGGATTACAACTTCTCAAAATTCATTTTTGAAGTGATGAAGAGCAACCTTCAGGGAAATAAGAAGGATCTATTTCTAATGTACCCCCGATTCCTTTAGATGATCCTAAATGAAAAATATCCCCAAATTGAGAGGTCTTCTAACACTTTGGATATGAAAGCCTTGGGTTCTAACTCCTTTGGACTCATGAAGAAATCAAGAAAGGCTGCCAAAGTTGCTTATCAGGGAGTAAAGGAGCTGGTTAAATTTGGAAAGTTTGCTGAAGTTGAAAACACTGCTGATGTTAGTTCCATAAATGTTGTGGTTGCCGAGGAACATATGGCGCCCAAACCTAAATTTCAATTTTTCTTTGAAGAGATTGAAGTGTATGATGATGAATAAGATGAAGAGGATGAAGGAAATGAGTTGTCAGAAAATGAGTTTGAAAATTTGATTCAATAAAGTATTTCATTCCCAGAAGAGGATGTAGCTGTTACACCTCCGCTTGTAACTGAGAGGGAAAGTGATACATTGGTGCAATCTTCCTCTCTTACCCCTGAACAGATGCATGCTCTTATTGTTGAACTTCAGAGAACTGTAAGGAAGCCTCCCTAAATAGTTCATGTTGTTACTGAACCTCCATCTGGAAGGGATCTAGAAGACTCCGCCCACGCCTTACTCCCAATGAAGCGAAAATGAAGAGATCCTAAGTCGGGATTGCTTATCACAGACAAAGTTCAAAAGGAATCTACACCGATTGAGCCTAGCTCTGTGGCTCAAAACATTTAAAGCCCATTCACCGAGTCTTCTCCAGCGACTCAAGAAATGTCAAGCCCATTCACTGAATCCATTCCAATGGATCAAGATTCTGAAAGCTCGGTTGTTGAAGAAGTAGTCATGCCTACAGAAGGAGCTCAATATTCAAGAAGCTCGTTTGAAACACCTGAGCTCGACATCTAAAAAGGCAAGAGCAAGCTGCTTGGCTCTGAATTGATTTTTGTGGTTCTGCTTCAAAATAGAGTCTTTGATCTAGAACAAAGCTCTGCCGAAAAGGATTTAATAATTGGAAAGCAGGACATTAGAATCAGTGAGCTTGAAAAGGAGAACTTAATTAAAGATTCAAAAATCTCAGAACTTCAGGGAAATCTAGGTGGTCTAACTGCTTTATTCTTTAACCTGAAACTGCGCCTATTTCAAAAGTTTGGAGATGAATTTCATCCTTTAAGCGCGGAAGGAGAAAAGATCAATGCTTCCAGTTCTGGCCCCGCCAATCCAACTCCTCAATCTTCAAGTGAAAGAGTTGCAAGACCTGCTCCGGATGCCAATCTTGATACATTCTTATGATGGGTTTTGAGCATTCTAACACTCCTAAGTGTACATGCAACCCTAGAAAACCTTGGATCTATGTTTGTCGAAAATACATGCAAAATACTTTTTCCAAGGTTCATAATCCTATCTAGCATACATGGGGAACTTTAAACATAAAAATTGGCTAGAATTAGATACCTTGTAGTTGATTTGATTCCTTGTAAAACCTTGAGAGCCTAGCACCCCAAGTGTGATGCCTCAAATGTTTCACACAACACCAAGTGCTTTGGAATGACCTTGAGAGAATGTAGATCACTTCTAAATTCGGTTTGCCTTCTATTCTTTCTTAGTGTAGCCGTTTTTGGTGGATGTTATGTTACTTATATAGTGTGTTACACTTAGGGTTACACCATGTAAACCCTAATGTGACATGGCTCTTCATTTCCAAGACCCATGGGTTTGTAACTCCCATGGAGCATCCTATGGACCTTAGCCCAACTTGATAATCCATGAAGCCTTTAGCCCACTATACAAGTTGTGGATGATTTACATAATCAATCCATATATTTAATTAGTCTCTTTTTGATCACTTAATTAATTCTAGATTAATTCTTGATCAATACTAACTAAATAATTTTATTAATATATAAGAACTTATAATATATTAATAAACCACAAGTGTTATTTCTCTCATTTAGTCTATCCAAATGCATGATGCCATGCAACCCAAATGGACCATGCCGGGTCGGGTCAAGTACATACCAGAAATAGTTATGGACTTAGACACCTTATCCAACAGTCTCCCACTTGGATAAGTCTAATAACTATAACTGCAAGTATGACTTCAGGAACCGATCAGCAATCGTAGCTCTTTTCAAGGTCTCTCGGAATTGAGAAGATGATGATACGCCATTTAAGATAAGTGATCATATAATCCTCTGTTCTAGATATCAGTCAGACAAATACACGGAACAATGTCTTACTTATTGTCCAGCAGTTTGTTTCTCGATTTCCGATTTGTTTGACATAGAACTTAATTGAACACATCAATTTAGTTCTGACCGAGCCCGGTACATAGGTCAAAACAAAATCATCGAGGGGCCCAGATATCGCTTCTAATCCAAGAAGGAACAGATAAACTTCAACTCATATGCTTGTTCTACAACTTGTTGAATCACACACAAAAGCACATTTTTATAACATCGAGTTACCAATGCGTTTTCGTACGATCAATGCATAACCAACTCATAGGCAACAAGTCATATTTCTAGGTTTGAAGACTTATACGATATTACCGCTCATTATCACTCGAGATAAATTCCATGAAGTGATACCAGTGCGCGTGGGTTGAATCCAATACTCAGAACTTATGAGCACTCATGAGTGTTGTAGCACCGCTTGCTATATCTAACCACATATCCCTCTACAAGCCAACTTCATGACAGTCTTAATTAATATCTACTTCCAACATATGACCGACTGTGGATAATTTGAATAATATGTAAAACATAACATAAAAAATTCTGGAAGTCAAAATATGCAAAAGAAATGATATTAAACGATCGACACAAGATAGCAACACTTTACTCATAAATAAACACACCTTTTATCCATCATCAAACGTCAATTACACTTTACAAATTTCAAAATTATCTAACTACTAAATCTAATATCATCCTTCAGCCCTATGCGCCTTGCATGTTGGAGATGCTTAGACCTACTCAGTCCCTTCGTGAGGGGATCTGCTGGGTTCTCATCCGATGATACCCTCTTTACCACGAGGAGTCCTTCTTCTATTTGATGTCTGATGAAATGGTATTTTCTGTCAATGTGTCTGGATCTCCCGTGATCCCTTGGTTCTTTAGCTAAGGCAACTGCACTTTCACTATCACAGAAAATTTCCATAGGCTCCTTTATAGCTGGTACTACTCCAAGGTCTCCAATGACGTTCTTCAGCCATATTGCCTCCTTTGCTGCCTCGCTTGCCGCTATATACTCTGACTCGCAAGTTGAATCAGCCACTCTCTCCTGCTTGGAACTTTTCCAAGTTATTGCTCCTCCGTTTAAGGTAAAGACCCTGCCCGACTGAGAGCGGAAATTATCCCTATCAGTCTGGAAGCTAGCATCACTATACCCTACAACTCTCAAGTCATCACTCCCACCAAGGGTAAGGACCCAGTCCTTAGTCCTCCGCAGGTACTTGAGAATGTTCTTTACCGCAGTCCAGTGAGCCTTGCTAGGGTTCCCCTGATATCTACTGACCATGCTCAAGGCAAAGGCCACATCAGGACGAGTACAAGTCATAGCATACATGATCGATCCTACAGCAGAAGCATAAGGTACTCGACTCATTTCTGCTATCTCAGCCTCGTTACTCGGGCTCTGAGTCTTACTCAATCTGGCGTTACACTGGATAGGTAACTCTCCCCTTTTGGAATCCTGCATATTGAACCTCTTCAGCACCTTATCCAAGTAGGTACTCTAACTAAGTCCAATTAGTCTTTTACTCCGGTCTCTAAGAATCCTTATCCCTAGAATATTGGTAGCTTCTCCTAGGTCTTTCATAGCTAAACACTTCCCAAGCAAGGACTTCACTTCCTGCAGGGTTGGGATGTCATTTCCTATGAGTAGTATGTCATCCACATACAGTAGCAAAAAGCTAACTATACTCCCACTAGCCTTGACATATACACAAGATTCATCTTCACTCCTCGAAAAGCCAAACTCTTTGACTTTCTCATCGAAACAAAGATTCCATCTGCGAGGTGTTTGTTTCAATCCATAAATGGATTTCTCAAGCTTACACACTCTATTAGGGTACTCTGTACTGACAAAACCCTCTGGCTGACACATGTAAACATCCTCAGCCAACTTTCCAATAAGGAAAGTGGTTTTGACATCCATTTTCCATATTTCATAGTCATGAAATGCAGCAATGGCTAACAATACCCTAATAGACTTAATCTTGACTACTGGTGAAAAGGTCTCATGATAATCAACTCCTGGAGTTTGAGAAAAGCCCTTTACAACCAGTCGTGCCTTATAAGTGTGTACATTACCATCCATGTCGGTCTTCTTCTTGAAGATCCATTTGCAGCCAACTGTCTTACGACCTGGTACATTGTCAACCAAGTTCCAAACTTGATTGTCATACATGGACTGTATCTCGCTGTCCATTGCCTCTTTCCATTTAGCAGACCCGGGGCCTGCCATGGCTTCCGCATAGCTGTTAGGTTCATCCAGACTTATCAGTGTCTCATCACTGATAAGTGTCTCACCTTCCACAGTAATATGGAAACCATAATAGTGCTCAGGTGCACTCCTAACCCTTGTGGAACGCCTCAGAGGTACAAACTTGTCAATTGGATCAACAGGAGTTTCCTCCTCAAGTTGACTGCTAGGGTTTGAGGTTCCTTCACCACTTGACTCTTGAATTTCTTCAAGGTCAATTTGCCTCCCACTGTTTCCTTGGCTTATGAACTCTCTCCCTCTCTCTCTCTCGAAAGACACCCCTTCTTGCTACAAATACCACATTCTCACTAGGTCTGTAGAAGAGGTAACCAAAGGATTTCTGTGGGTAGCCAATGAAAATAGACCTCTCACTTCGAGGTTCAAGGTTATCATGAGTCTCGTGTCTCACGAAAGCTTTGCAATCCCAAATCTTGATGTGGGCTAGATTAGGAACTTTTCCAGTCCACATCTCGTGAGGTGTTTTGACAACCTTCTTTGTAGGGACCACATTAAGGATATGGGTGGCAGTCTCTAAGGCGTACCCCTAAAATGAGATTGGTAGTGAAGCTCGACTCATCATGGAACGAACCATGTCCAACAAGGTTCGATTACGCCTCTCAGCTACACCATTCAACTATGGTGTTCTGGGAGGTGTCAATTGTGAGACAACCCCACATTCATTAAGCTAGTCGAGGAACTATGTACTAAGATACTCACCACCACGATCAGATCGAAGCATCTTAATGTTCCTGCCCAATTGATTCTCTACTTCCTGCTTAAACTCTTTAAACCTATCAAAAGTCTCTTACTTATGCTTGATTAAGTAGACATATCCATATCTACTATAATCATCTGTAAAAGTCACATAATAACGATTAGCATCCCTTATGGCAGTTTTGAAGGGTCCATACACATCTGTGTGTACTAGATCCAACAAACTTTCACCCTTAGCACAAGAACCTGTGAAGGGTGACTTGGTCATTTTTCCAAGTAAGCATGATTCACAACAATCATCTGACTTTAGGTCAAATGACTCCAAAACTCCATCCTTTTGGAGTTGGCCTATGCGTTTCTTGCTTACATGTCCAAGACGACAATGCCATAATGATGCTTTGTCCAAGTTATTGTCATTAGTAGAATCAATACACAACACATTATTTCCTAAGTTATCTACAACATGCACAGCTTCATACACACCATCACAAGGTAATGCTTTAAAATACAACGCATTATTAAAGAAAGAATTTATTCCACGAACTTCTTTATCAAAAGAAAAGGTAAACCCTTGTTTGTACAAAGCATGAAAGGAAATAATATTTCTTGCCATTTCAGGCGAGTAACAACATTTGTTCAAATCTAAAGTAAACCCACTACTTAGCAACAATGTACAAACTCCAATATTGGTGACAGGTGAAGCTTTCCTATTCCCCATGATCAAGTTTATCTTTCCATGCTCCGCATTCTCACTTCTTCTTAGTCCCTGCAAATCAGAACAAATATGAATACCACAGCCGGTATCAAGGACCCAAAAGTTAGAATAGGGTGAGTTATTAGATAATATAGTGTAAATACCTGCATGGTTGGGTTTTACTTTCCCATCCTTCAGATCTTGCTGGTACTTTGGGCAGTTCCGCTTCCAGTGCGCCTTTTCATGGCAATAGAAACAGTCAACCTCTTTTGGGTCAGAAGAAGGAGTGACGAAACCTTTGTTGGTTCCACTTGAAGAGGAGCCATCAAGGGTCTTACCCTTGGTACCCTTCAAAGGGTTCTTCCTCTTTTTCCCTCTACCTTTCCCGATTGCCAGG